CTTCCCTTCATTGTCCGTCTTTCCGCCGTCTTTTCATCCCTTACACTTTCTTGTCTGTTCCATAACTATTAAGCCACAGAATTTTTTTTTAAAACTTGGCACAAGTAATCACCATTATGACACAATGTAGGATTGCAATAATTGGGTTGCTACAGCCACATTTAAAGGTTAAGTGTTAAAAAGTCTATATTTGTGCCACTGAAAAAATTCTGAAATAGCTTGGCACAAGTGATCACCATTATAAGACAATGTGCAGAGCGCAATAATTGGGTTGCTACACACAAGGTCAAGATCACACTTAAAGGGCTCAAGTGTTAAATGCCCCGCTCTATAATTTACCCCATTTAAAATGTTTTTTAAGAAAATTGCAAAAATGATACCATTTGGATGTTGGTGCAAAAACCAAACCCAGTTGCTCCCCCCAAGGTCAAGGAAAAATTTTCCCTTAACTTTTTGTTTTTAATGGAAGTTTTTAAAATAATTTGGGAAAAAAAAATTACTTCATGAACTTGTGTTATAATTGATGGCAAAAATCAAGGTAAGGTTGAAAAAGTAAAGTATACTTCATGTTCATGGGGAAAGGGGGTTTTAGTTTCCCCTTTAGACTGCCTTGTAAAATTTATAATATAAAGTTTAAAGTTTTAAAGTTAAAGGGCAAAATGTATTTTTTTCTACCCAATTTTAAAATTCTTTTTTTTTTTGCAGGTGGGGTTTGAAAAATGAAAAAAGGAATTTTTTCGGGGAAATGCTTTTTTATTATATCAATATAAAACTTCTAAGAGGCACTATTGTATGGGAACTTATTAATATCTACAATACATGTAATTAGTCCCCTACCGGTTTACCGGAGGGGACTTTAGGTTTACCCTCCGTCCGTCTGTCAGTCCGTCTGTCCGTCCGTCTGTCTGTCAGTCCGTCCGTCCACAAAACTGGATCCCGCGATAACTTGAAAAGTACTGAAAATATTTTTATGAAACTTGGTATATGAATAGATGGCAGTATGGAGATTATGCATGTCTTTTTCTTTTCTTCCTATGTTGAAAATTCTGGTTGCTATGGCAACAAATAGGCTTAAAATATGGCAAATTTTACACATAAACTGGATCCAGTGATAACGCAAAAAGTACTGGAAATATTTTTATGAAACTTGATATATGGATAGATAGCAGTGTTGAGATTATACAAGTCTTTTTCTTTTCTTCTTATGTTGAAAATTCTGGTTGCTATGGCAACACATAGACTGAAAATATGGCAAATTTTACACATACACTGAATCCAGTGATAACTCAAAAAGTACTGGAAATATTTTTATGAAACTTGACATATGGGTAGATAGCAGTGTTGAGATTATGCATGTTTTATCTGTTCTTCCTATTTTGAAAAAATATCAGTTGCCTTGGCAACAAATAGGCTTAAAACATGGCAAATATAACAATTTTTGTGATTAGTCAAAAAGAGCTGAAAATTTTTATGAAATTGATCTTTAATTCAAGAGTTATCTTCTCTTTAAGAGTTTTGCTTTTAAAATGTTATATTTTGGTAACAGGGGTGTTTCAAATATTAACTTTAGAGTGTCCTTCAGTCTGTCTGTCTGTCTGTCTGTTCATAAAAACTGTTTCCTGTGATCACTTTTAAAGAACTTTTCCAACAAGTTTACTTAAAATAGAGAAAAATTGAAACATAAGTGAATGGCCAATGGCCCTTCAGAATGTTGATGGTGTTCTAACCGGTAGGGGACTTATGGATTGCTTGCAATACTATGATAATTGCTTGTTATTTCAGATCTGCAAAGGAAGTTGCTGGGATTCTTATGAAAGCTTTATTTTGTGCAGAATTGTCCGAGATATCTCTCCTAGGTGCCCTATGGTACTTCAATTGTAGTGGGGGAGTACTCAGAATAAGCTCAATAACAAATGGTGCTCAGGTAACGTCTTGTATTAACATTACCATAAACATCTCATACAAAAGAAAGGGTAATTAAAAGTTATTAAAGCAATATTCTTTGTCTTTACAATTGCTCCTAGTCTTAGTTTATACAAATTTATTTTAGTTTGATTATGTTGGAAGCTATAAGCTTATTGAAACACTCTCAAATCCGTTCCTGGAGTAAACCAGTACTAAGCAATGAGTGTAAAGTTTCTTGCTCATTGAAACAACGGCTTGCCACTGACGGGATTTGAACCCAAGCCCAAGGTGTTAACCAAATGGCCATGCAGCCACTACTAGTCTTAATGAAACAGGTACATAAATCTCCTGTTATGTTGTATTTCTGTTCATTATGAAAAGCCTTTGTCATCTGGGTATCAAGCTTAAAACTGTTTGTAAGTTTTGGAAGAGTTGAAATCGTTGGAACTGCTGTCTAGAATTATGTTTGATTAAATCAACATATCTTGGATATATGACAATAAATCTACACCTAAATTCACACTAATTAAACATGCTGCCTTTGGCATTAAGTTTTTGTATGCCAGTAGTAAACATTGATATCACTAAACACAACCTGTGGGGCATTTATCTAGTGTATCGAACACAAAACTCAGGCTCTTATTGGCTTAGGATGCATAATGGTTGACAAGCTTAAAATACCTGAGTGTAAGTTACCACACTACATATTCTGTATTTCTAGGATGCAATATATGTCACATGGATTTGAAAGAAAGTTGAATAGTGAGTTGTTATAAACAGACAGAAAGTTCTAGTTGTGTGTCATAAAATAAAGGTTACTTGAAGCATCAGACAAGGGATCATTATATTCAGGTGCAATATATTGAGTGTACTGAATTTTCTGAATATTCTGTTGAATCAAATTATATTTTGCGAGCCATTCAACTTGTTCAATAAATTCAGTATTTAAGCGATACAAATTTAATATTCTATTTATAACAAACTTTGAATAAGAACTGTTACAGTTAAAACACTCATTGACACTCTTATTGTGTAAAAGAAATATACCACAGTAGCAAAAGTAGAACTGGTTGTATCTCGGGGTTGGGGGGTTCAAGTATGGTCATTGTTGACAGGATGTCATTAAAACAGAGACGCAGGTTAGACTGTAATCTTGCAGACAAGTTTATGTTCACCCATTTGAATGATAAGTGACACTCTTTTATGTAACGGACATCAAGCATTAATGGAAATAAAATTGAGATCATTTGAGCTTCACCCTGGTCTTTTCAGAAGCAGACTAATTATTTAGCTACATGTAATTAAGTTAGGTTTAGTAACATTTATTTATGTTTAATTGTAGGAGAAAAAGGTTGAAGGAGGAACTCAGCAAATATCAGAAGGTCTTGCTAAATTGGTAGGGGATTATGTGAAGCTTAGTTCTCCAGCTGTTTATATAAAATATGATGATCATACAGTCATAGTTAAAGATTCTCATGGCAACGTTTATGAGGTAAATATACATATGTATATTTTACAAATAGCTTACTATGTCAGTCATAATCTGTCTGTTTTGGTATACTGCCACAGCTTGTTTTTGTGTTAGTTTGGATTACTGTGAATTCACTTAAGTTTGTGAGCATGAAATTTGGTGTTTTTGTCATACAGAACATTTTTGTGATTTCTTAAATTTATAGACTGTCTATTTTTCTAAAGGTGATGCAAAACAAGTCTAAAGACATGTATATTGCCATCTTTACTTGATTCATTTTTTGTACTTCAGTCTTGTATATATTATAGGCTAGGTATGTGATAAGTTCAGTGCCTCCACCACTTCTCAACCGGATAGAGTTTGATCCTCCGTTACCATGGGAACGATTACAACTAATGCAAAAAATGCCAATGGGATCAATAATTAAAACAGTGATGTATTATAAAACACAGTTTTGGAAAAAATTAGGTAAATGTGAATGTTGTTATTAATTGGCCTGAAAAATCAATTAAAATAGTACAGATTGTTCAGAAAAGATTATGAAATAAATAGAAGTGAGTTGCATTTATACTAATAATTTATTGAACATGTATATGTTGTTTAGATTGTCAATCAATGTGTATTGTTTGAATATATTAACTGGAGACTTATTCTTTTGGGTAGTGTTTTTTTAGTTTCCATAATTAGTTTGGATTTACCTATTGAAATGATAGTATAGTTCTAGTCCACTGGCCTATCGGATAAGTACTACAGAATTGAAATCTTGTAAATGCAAGTTTGAATCCTTGACAAACATTTTTCAAATTTGTTTCACAAAAAATATTTCTTGTTATTTTTAAATTCATACAATGACTGATTCACATGCACTAAAACACAGTGGTGAAGTTTCCAAAATATAATTAAAAAAAAAAATATGAGGAAAATATACTGTATAAGTGGTTAATTTTGCGACTTGGAAATATTTGCGATTTATGCAAATATTTGATTACGCAAAAATTATTTCTTTTTAGGCAAACTTATATATGTGTTAATAACACGATAGGTTATTCATATAACAAAAGAATGTTTCAAAATAAGACAGGGAAATGTATGATCAGGTATTTATCAAATAAACAATGTATATTTCAAACAAGTATATAAATATTAAAGGTATTACACAGCTGAATAGAAGGAATACAATAACGTCATATTCTTAACATGTACCTGTGTAATTACTGATATCACAAACACAGTATCAAATTCAAGAAATCATATTTTCGCAAATATTTCCGCACGCAAAAAGTTCACTTTTTGAAATTTGCAAATTTTTTGTGATGCATAAATATCCACTGATATAGTATATAAAAAATGTTTCATTATCATTTGAATCTGCAACCTTCAGGTGAACACTTTGTTACTAGAGGCATATTAGGCAAGTGTTAATCTGGGTGTTTAAAGCTATGAAAATACTGTTGTGCCATACTTTACAATGCATATGGCATATGGTTTACTTTGAGAGTCAGATTATTACCAGCAAAAGGTCCTTGAATATATAAATGTATCAGGCCAATATTGGCAAACACTAGAAAATATATTTAAGATGTGGACCAAACCTCCTGTTAGTATCATTAAAATACACTGTAAAGTTAGGCTCTCTCTAGACAGACTTGTTAAGAATTTTAAGGAGAGATTCCATTGTGTTTACCAACATTTTGTTTTGTTTAAAAAAAAAACATTTTTGTCTTTCAAATAAAAACAGAGGTATTTACTTTCTTATCTAAGGTTTTAGTGCAGTATTATTCACCAAACATTACTGATTGCATTGAAACTTTACATACCTCTTTTGGGACAATATTTTATGCTGTTGATGTAATTGTTATGGATGTCATTTGAACATCATTACCCTGTTATATATAAATATACAAAGTTCAGTTTTTGACGTATTTTGTTCAAACAGAAAGTGGTAGAAAGGTGGAATGTACTTCCTATTTAAAGATTTTGTTAAAAAATGAAAATAAAGAAAACAACTTTTTGTCTATGATTGAGTTGTAGCCCTTGCATTATTGAAACTATGATCTGATTGTAGATTTACATGGTTTCTAATTAGAAATACTATGTATAGTTAATTTTTGGGGCAATTTGTGGCAGAATATTGGGCTGTGAGTTTTGTCTCATATAGAGCTTTTGTTAAAGAAATTTAAAACTCAGTTAAAAAAAAGAAAAGGAAAAAAGAAAAGAAAACAGCCTTTGATTAAAAGTGTCTTATGGTTTGAGTGATTTAAATGGGGATAACCATTTTCATCAGACGGTTATTGCTGTTATTTATAAAAAAAACAAAAATAATGGTGGTCATCCAGCAATAATGGGGTTTATATTGGCTGATAGGGCTAGAGAAATGGCTGCTGCAACACCTCTTGTACGGTAAGAAACATGTATGGTGGCTGTAAATAACTACCCCATACTTTATTTTGGTATTGTTATAGTTTGTCGATGATATATATGGAAGAAAATGGCAGAATGGCAGAATATAAATTAAATCGAACTTTCTTGCTATTGCAAGACTGTAAACCTGTTACAAGCTTATCTAAACCTTAAGTTCATAGCATATATATCATGAGCCATGTATGGATGTCATAACATAGGAACTTGTTTCTTAGTTTTTCAAAGTCAATAAATGGATATTTTGAAAAATTCAGATGTTTTATGACAGTGCAATGTATCAGCTCTTACACTGACACATTTTTGTCCAAATGTGAAACAGTTCCCCATCAGGTGGGGACAATGTATGTATGCATGATTTAATTTTAGCCAGGTTTCACGGTATCATTTCTCAATCTCAGTAAACTACAGACAGTTGCACACTCCATTATTTGTATACGGAGATAAGAAAATATTGTATTTCCATTTGAAGAAACTGTAAATAAAAACGTTTTTCAACAAAGCCAGAAATTGGGTCATGAAGTTTAAAGCTGATGTATGTGAATATTTTATGTACTTGTATATTTGTTGACGACTCACAAAATAAATCATGCCATTCCGCAGTAAATCATGTGTCTTATTAAAAATCACATAAGACTTGCCTGCTTCACAGCCAAACAAGCACTCTTGTGCAATTTCTGGCATGTTGGTTGCTTTGATGATTCTGTTACATATCTTTTTCTTTTCATAGTACAATGTATATAATTGAAAGCTAAAAACTACATTTATCTTGATATAACATCATGAAAACACTGACAACTAATCTACTATTTTAGAAAAAAAAAGCACATTGTGTGGCGACCGTGCATTGATTATATTTGTAGTGCATTGATTGTGTTTGAATTACACTGCCACCCCCTTTATAACATCCCCTCAGTGTGATAACCCCCATCCCCCAAAAGTCAAATACAATCCACAACTTGTATTCAATAAAACCAGTATTTTGTTAATGCAGGATATTTCTGACACTATCTTGTTACAGTAGGCTAATCTACTTAATTTTTTTTATTTAATAGCAGGATAATGCATTTAAGATAGTTATCTTGTTGCTACGTAATTATGATGATAATTAATTTTCTTTCTCTCATTTATGGCCAAAGTTGATAACGTTGTTTACTTCAAACTACTTGCCTCTCAACACTGTAGGTTCTAGCTGTGCAAGCGTCTTTGGATCCTTCATGTGAAAAAGTTATCCAGCTAGCTTACGGAACGTGGGTGGCTCTACTTTGGAGCCCTTTGTGTCTGAAATTAGGCAATGAGGGGCACTCCAGGTCTTCCTCAACTAGTATAATTGGGGTCACTATATGACCTATACTGTGTTTAAGCGATGTAAGATCCAATAAAACAAAATTCTGCCTGATTTACATATGTTCACTATCATTCATAATTTGGATAATGGACTTCTAACCACAATATTGTTATTACAGGAAAGAAGCACTATGTGCTCACTATGCCTGGGTGTTTGGGACAGATGATTTCCTACGTCCTGTAGATTATAGAGAATATAATTGGATGGCAGATCAGTATTCTGGCGGATGTTACAGTTCAGTGATGCCCCCAAATGTCATAACAAAATATGGAAGGTATATTACAAGAAATTTATTTCTAAAGAATTATTCTATATTGTTATTGAAATATAGATGAATGTGATATGTTTGTTGTGGTGTTGCATACTTGATTTATTACAATTGCTTAATTAGGGCATACCTACAGATTTGTACTTAATGTCACTTTAGAAAAAAGTTCTTGTACTATTTGCCAGCCCCTATTTGTCTCTTTGGTCTACAATTGGCACATTTTGCATAGGTATTTCAACTCTTGATATAAAATTAGTAATTTATCCTGAGTGATTAAGTATGAATATTTTTATGATTAATAATAATAAATATTTTGTACTAGTACATTTTATTATCTGCTATATAAATAAATATATGTAATATCAGGTCATGTACATATATAATTCTTTTGCGGTTTGATGTAAAATAATATGTCTCATAATTATTATCAGTGTAATTATTATTTATTGTGTTACAGACCTTCTATCATAGCATAGACCAATTCACTTTAAGGTCACACTTCCAAAAGTAAAATTCTGAAATAAAGGCATGTTGTGTATAAACTATATTGATTTGAGAGATAATATTAAATGACATAATATGCAAGAAGTGATGTACAATGTGCCAATTATGTTTTTAAAATATTATGTACATGAATTAGATAAGAGCCAAGATGTGTTACATAAGAAGCAAGAAAGTAAATCAACTATTTTGTAATGGATGTAGCAGTTGATATATTTTTATCATTTCAGATGTTTGTGGGAGCCAGTTGGTCGTGTATATTTTGCTGGTACACAGACTGCCACTATGTGGCCAGGATATATGGATGGTGCTATACAAGCAGGAGAAAGGGCAGCTAACCAGGTGAGATGTCTAACCTGCTGGAAACAAAAAGGGATGAGCATTTACCACCAGTATAGGGCCAGGCCAACGAGCACATTTGTGAAGTTTAACCAGGCTCTATACTGCTGGTGGACTAACTTTAAATTTTCATCTTGATATTTCTGAAATTAATGAAGGACAGTTTCTAAAATGGAAGCTTAAGAAATACAGCAGATTATAGGTTACCTTGATTTTCCTCCCCCAAGTTATTAAATGGTGTGTTGATTATGTTGAAAATGCTTAAAAAGTTTTCTCCTTGAAAATTGTTTTTGTTTTCAATTTTATAGCAAAACTTTGATGTGACTCGCTATCTATTTCATTTTGCAGAGAGGCATGTTTGTATAAGGCCATTTGTCAAACTATTATGCACATAAAATACCTCAGCTATATTTAAGGTGGACACTGTGTAAAAGTTCATTTATAACGGGAAAAGATTACATTTTTTATGATCATATCTATTTTAGTAGGATTCATATCCGAAATTTTGTGGTGTCCTTAGCCAAGTGGTTAAGTTTGTTGACTTCAAACTACTTGCCTCTCACTGCTGTGGACTCGAATTTGGATTCTTGCATGTGAGGAAGCTGTCCAGCTAGCTTACAGAATGTTGATGGTTCTACTCCGGTGCCGGTTCATGCCCGAAATAATGCACAAAGGGGCACCTGAGGTCTTCCTCTACCAGTAAAGCTGGAAAATATCCATATGACCTTAACAGTGTTGGTGCGACCCAATAAAAAAAAAACTCTTAAGTTAAATCTACAGTGGATTGTAAAAGAAAAGTTTATCACATCATTGATTCTTTAACTTGTTGGCCTTAAATTGTTTTATTAGTCCCCTACCGGTTTACCGGAGGGGACTTTAGGTTTACCCTCCGTCCGTCTGTCCGTCCGTCTGTCTGTCCGTCTGTCTGTCTGTCAGTCCGTCCGTCCACAAAACTGGATCCCGCGATAACTTGAAAAGTACTGAAAATATTTTTATGAAACTTGATATATGGATAGATGGCAGTATGGAGATTATGCACGTCTTTTTCTTTTCTTCCTATGTTGAAAATTCTGGTTGCTATGGCAACAAATAGGCTGAAAATATGGCAAATTTTACACATAAACTGGATCCAGTGATAACGCTAAAGTACTGGAAATATTTTTAGGAAACTTAAAATATGGGTAGATGGTAGTCTGGAGATTATGCACATCTTTTTCTTTTCTTCCTATGTTGAAAATTCTGGTTGCTATGGCAACAAATAGACTGAGAATATGGCAATTTTTACACATAAACTGGATCCAGTGTTAACGCAAAAAGTAATAGAAGTATTTTTATGAAACTTGTAAAATGTGTAGATTGCAGTCTGGAGATTATGCACATCTTTTTTCTTTGAAAATTCTGGTTGCTATGGCAACACATAGACTGAAAATATGGCAAATTTTACACATAAACTGAATCCAGTGATAACTTAAAAAGTACTGGAAATATTTTTATGAAACTTGACATATGGGTAGATGGCAGTCTTGTGATTATGCATGTCTTATCTGTTCTTCTTATTTTGAAAAAATATTGGTTGCCTTGGCAACAAATAGGCTTAAAACATGGCAAATATAAACAATATTTGTGATGAGTCAAAAAGAGCTGAAAATTTTTATGAAATTGCATCTTTAATTCCAGAGTTATCTCCTCTTTAAGAATTTTGCTTTTTAAATTGTTATATTTTGGTAACGGATGTTTCAAATATTAAATTTAGAGTGTCCTTCAGTCTGTCTGTCTTTTTAACAAAACTGTTTCCTGTGATCACTTTTAAAGAAATTTTCCAACAAATTTACTATAAAAACATTAGTGAATGGCCAATGGCCCTTCAGAATGTTGATGGGGTTCCATCCGGTATGGGACTTATGGATTGCTTGCAATACTATGATAATTGCTTGTTAATAAAACGTTTAATGTGCTATTTTCAGATTCTCTACGCAGATGGTAAAATTTCATCATATGAAATAGATACAGTTGAACCTGAATCACAAGACTACCCAGCAAAACCAATTCCCTTCAGTTATATAGAACATTATCTTCCCAGCAACACGGCAGTTCTACGATTTGGTATAGCTATCACGTTAGGTTTTTTCGGATTTAGTGCATATGTGTTTTTCTTCAGCTGGAAAGGTGCATTATTTTGGAAGTGGTTCCAATGGAAGTATGATCTTGATGAAAAAGACATGTGGAAGTTGTCCAAATATTTTAAAATACCATCTCGATTTTACAGGCATGTTAAAAATTAGATTTGACATGTTTATTGGGATTATATGTTGCAATTTTTTTTGGTTTCATATATTACATCAAAATGTCAAACTTTTAATATTTAGAATGATTACTTTGAAACAACATGATTTATTATTTATGGAAAATTTTATATGTTTGTAAAAAAAAGAAATAAAAATCTACCTTATGTACTAATTATGTACATGTGTCTCACAATAATCTTCTGTTAAAACCAGAATAAATCTGAACCTTTAATGTGGTTCATTCAAGGCATAGTTTTGAAATATCTATTTGTTGATTTAGTTTATGAATGTTTTTTAACCTATACACATTACTTTATATACATCTATGTAGATTTTATACTTGTCGAGAGGTCTCCAATGTTTGCTTGATGAGAGGCCAAGTAAATTGAATTGCTTTTGCAACGAAATTTTTATTGGTTTTCTTTTAGTAAATATACACTTTCTGTTTCCTAATAAATTTATATCTTTGTTTTTTATTTGTTTGTTTTTTGTTGTTTGTTTTTTTTTTGTATTTGCACAAACTTGATTCTATGAATGAACATAGCTTATGTTTTGTGAAATGTTTATACAAATGTATGTATACCGATATAACATAAATTTTTATTTGATTTGATTGGAAAAACAGACAAGTTCACTGAACTGCATCCAGCTATTTCTATTTTCATTTCTAACTGCAACACAAACTTAAAGTCTTTTTAAAAAACAGTATTGCATTCAATACATGTATATAACATAATGTATTATCTATACTGGTCACTGCCTTTCATATTTGTCACATGTGATTAATAGAAACTTTCTTTCGTCAGTATGACTCCAACCAAAAATGATGAATTATTTTATGAGAAGGATCTATAGGTAGCTACAATGTATTTGAAGACACATTTTAACTCAATGTATGCTCGTGGCTGAAACAATTTTAGAGAGGGGCTAGCTTCTTAAGGTACAGTATAAAACTATACTCACAACAAAAAACCTTCATTCAATCAAACTTTGTTTTAAAATTTCCAGGAACGGATTCGAAAGTGTGTCTATAAGCTTATACAATGTAGCATACTACACAATCGAACTAAAATAAATTCTGATTCACCCAAACAATATATGTGTTGAAATGAAACTTATAAAATACTCTTGAAGTTAAATGAAACTCAGAACAACATATTTTTACAAAAATGTATATCACATTCAGTTAGCAATATTTTTTAAACATTTGTACGCTTCATTGATTTAAATTAACGATATTACTTTCTGGTCCTTATTGTTGCCATGGAATGGAATCTGAATTAGATATTCCATACTGTCACAGAACGGCTCATTTATCTTGTATAATATATATATTGTTGGAACAAAAATCAGCATATTCGCTGGAAAATTGCCTATTATACAGCCAATGTAATAAACTAAAACTATCACATTAGGCATGAAAGACAATATCTTTTAATCTATTTGGGTCACTTCATAATTTATTAAACGTAAAAAAGAAATGTTACATTCATAGTCATAATAAACAAATCCCATTTATTGCAGATTATGTACATGCATTAATGCTGGACTCATTAAGAACTCTCTTTTTTTAAGAAGAAACAAAATTAATGCAACTTTTTCACTATATGTACACGGTCACGTGATCAACAATTGCACAAATATACCTCTAATTAGTCACATTGTTTATATAACACCAGTACTAGTTAGGCCAGGAGACATACTCGAATATGTTTCGAATCTTACGAAGATACTGTTGAAAACTAAATACTAGTAGGTCTTCATATGACATCATTTGACTTGTAAACTGACATATGGTAAGATTAATCTTTATGATGTTCTCTCCCATACAAACAACTGCCCTTCTTCTATCCAGTTAATGGAGACTAGGATGTTGTTTTTGATCTTCTGGATGACGTCATCGAAATATATGACGCTATTTGAAACACACAAGTAGTTATGCTTCTATTAACCACATTCCTGTTTTCCCTCGTAAAAACACGTGCCACGAGGGCACAGTTGTATCACCATATCACCGGGTAGACATCTCACAAACTTTGTACATGGTGTATACGGATGTGGAATGCTCATTTCTTTTCCCTCATTCTGACAATAATTTACTGAAATATATTCAAAATATTTTCATTTATTCATGTTTTTGCACAAAACAAAAGTTTAACAAAAAGGAATCTAAACCATGTATACATATACATGTAGTTTTAATATGAACATATGTATGTACCTAATATCAATTAGCAATAGCAGTTAAAACAAAACAACCTGCTGAAAACAATATAGTGTATAAAATCCTAAATTTTCAGAGAAGTAAGTTATACATGTATGTCGGAACTTTTTTTTGGTTAAAAATTATTTGCAGTAAAACAACTTGACTTGAAACAAACAACAATAATTTTTTGTTTTTTGTTTTTATAAGTTATAGAATAATAATGATAATTTTACAGGCTGTTACAATCTTATGGATTTACAGCTGAAGTCAATATAGATGGGTTGGTTCCTCTTACTGCAATAAGGAAATTTACCTATCATATTTAATACAATCAAAATATTTACATATCCATACATAATATACACTTACATGGTATATACCAATACATACAGAATGCACATTAATATGATATATAACCATACATACAGAATGCACACTAATATGATATATAACCATACATAACGAATGCACACTTACATGGTATATAACCATACATACAGAATGCACACTTATATGATATATAACTATCCACACAGAATGCACACTCATATGGTGTATAACCATACTTTACTGAATGTACACTTACATAATATATAACCATAAACACAGTATGCTCACTTATATTGTATATAACAATAGAAACAGAATGTACACTTAAATGGTATATAACCATACACAGAATGTACACTTACATAATATATAACCTCAAACACAATATGTACACTTACATGGTATAACTAAAATCTTATCTTGGCCAGGCTGGACTTGTGTGAGATATTTTTCCATTGATTTGTCAACATAATATCTCTTAGTTTCGATATTAGGTTTCACTATAACGGTCGTATCATTCAAGTGTATTCGAGGAAAGACCACTATTGAATGCTGAAATATAGTTTTAAGATTACAGCAATTAGTATTTAATTAATTTATGAAACAGTTTAATATGCAAATTAGGTTACCAGTATATTCACTGAATAAGACACTAAGAAAAACAACATAATGTTATCTAGTCTGCATTTCTTACCATGCACAAGTTATCGCATAGAGTCATCAGTATATATTTTCAATTTTAAAGTTATATTACAGATTTTTATGTATCATTCCTTGGAATATTTATATATCAGTAAAAGTTTGAAACAACTGTATAAAATACGAGTATATATATCTCTAAAAGTAACACGTATATTGCATAATTATGTAATGAATGTTAAACATAATATTTTAAAAATCACACTTTGTATTACAATATATGCGGAGGCTGATGCTTTCGTCAAGCATATCATCATCATCATCATCAACAACAACATCAACATCATCATCATCATCATCATCATCATCATGCAACCGTGGACCTGACTAAATCGCTATACGTTGTCATAAGAACTTATTATTTATGTTATGATACCATTGTATTCTATACCTTAAGTGTAGTTTGACAAAATTTGTGATCCACGTGTAGTTCATAATCTCTATATTCACCGTAATCTGCCAGATTATAACTGTAAAAAAAGAATAATATATATGTAAATATGATAAAAAAGATTATAATAAAGCTAATACATGGACAGACTTCTTCGTGGCTTTATAATACACATTTTCTTACAAGTTTATTCCTGGCAATAACGTATTTTTCTTAGCATTTTGTAACATTGATCTAAATACTTATAGTGTCAGATCGATTACAACTTCAACCAATGCTTGGACGAAAAATAGCTATTCACACATGCATTTAAAGCTTGTCCATTTGATCTGAAGTGATTTCTTTTCCGTCTTCACTTCTTCAGGATTATTGATTAGCATTTTTGGATCACATGTTGATATAATATAATTATTTAGATGAGTCTAAAGCAAGCAATAGCATGGTAGTCGTTCTTAATGTAAAATTATTTGTCATCTTTATCTCCCCTTTCACTTAGAAAACTCTCTGGCAAATAGGTGATCAATAAAACAATAACCCTCTGGCAGCGAAAGGGTTAATCTCAAATCAGAACAAAAAGCCAAATTTATGTTTTCAATACCTTTTATTACTGGCATCTAAGGCGATCCATGACATATTTGCCCAGGGTATGGGGTAACCACCTTGCCATGATGCTGTTATACGGAAGGCCCTGTCTTCTATTACGGATGGCCCAAGTGTCAACGTAATCTTCTTGCTTGGTTTCCCTGAATGAACAGTCAATAAGGATGTCATAGATTTATACAGTTGTATTTTCAATATATATGTCTTATTTTTTAAGTGAAGCGGTGGCCCAGTGATTAAGGTGTCTGTATGTCTGTCAACCCAGGGATCATTGGTTTGAGCCCTTCTCGGGTCACAATCAAATGGAACAAGTAATGGTTAGGTCGAGCGGTCTCGAAAGTGATTGATATAAGTTGCAAAGATACATTTGTTTAAAATTTTAAAAGATTATGTCGTTCACAAACAGGCCAATAAAGATCTTACTGACTGACAATGAAATATGATGTTAATAGATTTAATTGAACTTTGATGTGCCGTGTGGCAGCTATAAAATGTTTACTTCAATGTTGTCATATTTTTCTGGTTCATCGGGATCATTTTATGCAGCACATTGAGTGTTGAAAATTGGGAACCGCTTAAGCCTCACTATCCCTCTTATAGAAACTCAACCAAACCGAGCCTGCACTTTCCATGTAATTTTGTTGTTATTTATAAGTGCTTCCGAGGGATCACCATTTTCAAAAAAATTTATCAGAGAGAAAACATAAATCATGAAAAATACCAAGCCACGTAAATTCAAGTGTACACAGAGTACACCTAATTAGAAAATAACTCACCCACTACGATAAGGCGACTTCTTGCTGCTCTATCTTCTATCGATGACTTCAGACTACAAATATAATCATTTGCATCTCGACATTGGACGTCATTTATTATCAAAGTTAACGTCATGTTACTTCCTGTACCATCCGTGCTGTTGATTATGTCAAACATGACGTCATGCCTGTTTTTCTTCGCTCGTGACCATTTTATGACGCCGGAAGGAAATAACGTGACTTCTAATGGTCTCCAGGCTTGATTAACTTTTACAGAAAGTGATTTCCATTTGACTGCGTGTCTAACATTGCACAACAGTATTGCCTTGTCGAAAGTATATGATGTTACATCAGACATTTCAACTGTATCTACAAAGATTGATCAAACAAAATGCAATTTTATGCTTTTTATAAGGATAAAGCTAAAACCGACATTCTGGCTTTCAGATAAAGCTAATATTTTGCAGACAATAAATTTGTCAGATATAAATTGTAGTCCAATAAAAACTGTATAGATGAACAATGCAATAAAACATTGTGAAAGGGTGCAATTAACTTATAAAAAGGCAATTTCCTGTTCCCAATACAATTATAGTAAGCTGAAAAAACAACGACATGAAAGCTGACTGTTACGTAAGCGTATGTACAATAATAACTTATTCGTGCATACGCAACAAAAACACTGCAAAGTAACGAAAAGCAAAATCCAAAGCACCAAAGACAGTTTTATATAAAAAAGAGACATAATTCATTTTAAGTGTGTGTTCACAGATAGAGAAAAAACAACAACAAAATTGTATGTTGCTTATTTTAATTCCTAGCAAAAAAGTGAAAGTTGTAAATCATTTAAACGCATGTTTTAATTATATAAAAACTGGACTTAAATACACAAAGAGATTTAAAATTTCACTTATAAGATTTTGCAAAAAATACAATTCCCATATAAATTTCAGAGAAAGCTTTTTATGACAAGTCTTTTTTATATATGGACATATAATTTAGAGAATAATGCAGAATGACACATGCCTACTAAAATTAAGTTTTATCTTCAACTTAAAAAAAAACAATGCAAGCTATTGTTTACGTTAACTCAAATGAGAGAACTCATCCGAAAATTGTATGACAGCGGACTGACTATAGCTTACTATAACATCACGCTGCTACGTAGTCATAATACAGACGCTAACGTTTTAAATCAGTGACGATAACGAGAACGTTACTCCAACAGTTGATAGCATTGTAAAATACTTAATTGATGTTTAAGAAATATCATAGAATGATAAAAAGAAAATTTATAATGCTACAGAAGCATATATCTGCAGAAGCATAAAAAGGAATGGTATATATGATGTCTCTTTACAATAACATCTGTGCCCCCACCATAGCACCGTCTCATGCAGGATTCACCGTTTAAATATGAAAAAGATCTAAAATCATCCACAGATGTGCATCATCGAATCTTCAACTGACACTTTTGCGATGTATATATATTGCAAAAAAAGTCAAATATGATTTATGATTAGGTATCAGGGTTGCGTTTCATGGAGAGTCCTAAGTCTAAAATAAGTCTTAAGACCAAAACTGAGACAGTTTTGTGTTTCAAAAAAATGTCATAACATATGACTTCTATGTTAATACTTGTTGGATTTCTGCAGATAAGCATGAACGTATTGTGGGTTGAAGCATGTGCCATTGTATTTCTTAGAAGAGTGTAATTAATTAAAGTCCAAGTATTTGATTTAAGATAAAAATATTTATTGAAGTCCTAAAATTTATCTTAAGCCCTAGGATTTAGGATATATTTGGGACTTTCTATGAAACACCGTCCTGTATCCTATACATGTACCTGTAATATAAATCATAGTGCTATACATCATACATATTCTAAAATGCACATGCTACACAATAATATAATAATGCATATAAATGTAGTAAGCGCCACATGAACCATGCACTTTATTACATACATGTATTTAGATATGTGAACAAAACGCCTTAACAATATTTTTAAAAAAGATAGCGAATTTCCTTTGGTCTCAATTGATACTTATTGCAAAAATAATGAACATGGATACAACCTTGATATAATGCATCGTCATTGGAGTTAACGTATCTACATGTAAATTCAAATGAACAATTTCTTATATTTTTAACATACAAGTTATTCAATTGGCCGAGAAGTTATATTGTTTGTACGAATTGTAAGTGACTGCCGTGCGATGCTAAAGCCGACATGTTACCCACTTAGCGCTAAATATAAAAATAACTGTCGTGTGAAAAAAATGTGAATAAAGGAGATTATACATGCACATCAGACTATATATTTTCGGTTATTGATTATATAACTACTCCCAATAAGTAAAGATATATCAATAGTATATGTGTTATATTAAAGCAGGATCCTCTAGTCCATATATTTCTATCTATACAAAACTTACTATAGTTTTCTGGCAGTGTTGTTATCTCTGGTAGCGTAGTTGTCGTTTCTAGCAAAGTTGTGGTAGTTTCTAACAAATGTGTAGTAGTTTCTGGAAATGTCTTGGTTGTTTCTGGAAATGTCGTGGTTGTTTCTGGCAATGTCTTTGTTGTTTCTGGAAATGTCGTGGTTGTTTTTGTAAATGTCTTGGTTGTTTCTGGGAATGTCGTGGTTGTTTCTGGAAATGTCGTGGTTGTTTCTGGAAATGTATTGGTTGTTTCTGGATATGTCGTGGTTGTTTCTGGATATGCCGTAGTTGTTTCAGGAAATGTCGTGGTTGTTTCTGGAAATGTCGTGGTTGTTTCTGGCAATGTATTGGTTGTTTCTGGCAATGTCTTGGTTGTCTCTGGATATGTCGTGGTTGTTTCTGGAAATGTGTTGGTTGTTTCTGGATATGTCGTGGTTGTTTCTGGATATGTCGTGGTTGTTTCAGGAAATGTCGTGGTTGTTTCTGGATATGTTGTGGTTGTTTCAGGAACTGTTCTGGTTGTTACTGGAAATATTGTAGTAGTTTCTGAAAACGTCGTGTCTGTTTTTGGAAATGCTGTTGGATTTTCTGTAAATGGTACGACAGTTTCTGGAAATGATGTGGTTGTTTCTGGAATTGTCGTGGTTGTTTCCATTATTGTCGTGGTTGTTTCTGGAAATGCTGTTGGTTTATCTGGAAATGTTTCGGTAGTTTCTGGAAATGCTGTGATTATTTCTGTAAATGTGTTGGTATTTTCTGGAAATTCTTTTGTTGTTTTTGAAAGATTTGCTGTCCATCCAGTCTTATAAACCGACAAAACTGTTGTTGCTTTCGGCAACGTCGTTGTTGATGCTTGAAATGGATTCGAACGCAGTTTTGCTAAACCTGTGGGTTTTTCAGATGACTTTTGTGTTATTTGAGACACAGATGTATATTCATCTGGCAATGGTGTTGTCGTTATATTTTGCAATGATGTTGTCGTTGCGTTCCATAATTTTGATGTTGTTTCTGATTTAAGATTTGTTGTGTTTGGTAATGTTTTGGTTGTATACAAAAAAGAATAATCTATTTCAGACACCATTGATGATGTTTCATTTAATGATTTGGTTGTGTTAGAATATAAAGTTGCTGTTTCGTCTACCGTTTCCAAAGTTGTTAACAATGATGTATTCGGCGATGAAGAATGTTCATTTAAAGTTGAAGTTGATTTCGGATACACTGCTGTTGTTTCCGGATAAGTTTTCAATTTTCTCGTTTCGATTGTACCGTCTGATGAAGTCGTTCCTGATATTTCTGCGGTTGTAATGTACAGTGAGGTTGTATCTGTTGTATCTAATGTCGAGTCTGGACGCAATTTGCTTTCTGGTATTTTTGTCATATTCATAAATGTTGTTAAATTTTGCACTTTTGACGATGTAGTGGGGTCAAGCATGTCTACAACATCTGGCTCTGTTGCTTTTTGTAATACAGGTAAAAGCGGTGAAGTTTGTGTTAATAATATTTTCACAAGTTCTGATGTTATATGTGGCGATGATATTTCTGTTACAAGCGTGCTGGGCACCGTTGAAAATATTGTTTTTACTACTTTATCTTTGCCAGTATGTGCTTTATAAACTGATGTAGTTACCCGTGGCACGTATAAAGTTTTAGCTTTTGAATTCGGATTTCTTGATATAGAATATTTCGCTGTTCTTATATTTCCTGTTGTTACAGACGTGGGTGTTTCTGTTTCAGTAATTTGGTTTGAAACAAAACTAGAATGTTCATCGACTGTTGTAAATTTACCATCTAAATCCAAGACATCTGTCGTAGGTAGGATATCAGAACTCACTGTAAGAGATGTTTGTTATTCTATTCTATGTAAACATTTCTCAGATGATCGTTTAAAGAAAAGAACATGTGGCATTTAAAAACATGTATAGCTAGGTTGAATGTTGATATTGGAAATCGTTGAGCAACACTCATTTCTGCTTGTTATTCAATAGAGTCATATCTTATATAATTTTATGACAAAGGAACACTTATGACAAAATGGCTGATTCAAATTTTTGATAAATATTATTAATAAGAATAATCAAATCAAACAGTTTTTGCAAATGTACTTTTGCAGTCACAATTTTGATTTTTTTTTTCCGGATAATTACCATTACATGTAATATATTTACACGCTCGGACCAATTTAGTAAAGCGTTATTCTAAAAGTGATTTTACATTCATAAGTCTAAGCATTTATGCCTCCTTTTCATTCCATTAAAAAATACTATCATTACGTAGGTACGTCAATCAATAAGAACAAATCAGCATATCAGATGTCAAATGATTAAGTGTCAATAGTTATACAAAATGTACACTAAATAGCAGAGTATATTGACATGTCAGGTCAAAATTTAATTAATAAAAAACTAATCTAGTAACGGCCCGAGACACGGGTATAGAATCGGTTACTATGTCGTTAAAAATAATATAATTTACATAACTTTATTTGTTGATAATATCTTATTAAAATACAATACAATACGATGAATATAAACAATAGAATTGTATATATGTTTAACTTACATTTTGATACACACTGTTTACGACCGTTATTATAGAAAGATGCATACAAACGTAACATATATTCCAGACATTCAATAATAAAATCAATCGAAAGTATAGCACATAATAAAAAACAAATAAACTGTTGATAAGCAAAGTTAAAGCAGCATGCCTACAGATTCATGTTAATTTTCATAAAATTTGGAAAATGTATTTAAAAGTAAAATATTGTGAAGAAAAACAAAGAAAGTAATTTTAAAATTGCAAACGGTACTTGCAATCCACGTAAATTACCAAAAAAACAAAAAACAAAACGAGGTCAACATAGCCCTTACTGCGCTAGCCACGCAGTTGAAATATGGTGATAAATACTTCAAAATCAGTCTTTAATTGCACCTAGCATGCAAATTATTACTTTAATCTTGAATATTTTTACTTTTCTTGGTCTTGGTGCTTTTTTCTTAATTATGTTATTTTTTACTTGAAATATTTTGGCTCATCTGGAGGAGTGCAGCTTTAAAGGCAAGTTGGCTGTGCAAATATACAAATAACAAAGAAAGCTTCTTCAAATGTATGCGTTTATAACAGTTAAGCAATGTCCTGTACCAATATTGTGGTCTCTGAGAATGATAACTTTAAATTTATTTCATGACCGTTAAATAATTTACATTGATTTACATTAAATAAAAATAGAAAGTTATTTACTTTTAACAAATGCCTTTTCTAAGTTGAAGGATATTGTTTCAGAATGTAAAAGAAGATATTGTGGTCTCTGAGAATGATAACTTTAAATTTATTTCATGACCGTTAAATAATTTACATTGATTTACATTAAATAAAAATAGAAAGTTATTTACTTTTAACAAATGCCTTTTCTAAGTTGAAGGATATTGTTTCAGAATGTAAAAGAAGATAAAAACAAAACGTATAAAAAGCTGGACAATTTGTTTTCTGTTTTTGTTTTGAAATAAAGAGTTGAAGATTTAAAGACTTACGTAGGTTAATTCTGATATTGATGAAAAGGTGAATTCATTATTAGCAACTATGAATGTCAAATGTAATTGGGTGAAAATGATAAAAATGCAATGAATGAATGACTTGTGCAGCATGACAATATGTGGTGCAAGAACACCAGAAATGATACTACATTTATTTACATTTATTTGCGAGATAGAAATTTTCTATCTATATAAGCGTTGTGCTGTATTCAACGCATGCGCTGCAACAGTATAATATAAGTATATTATCAGATCTGATGATAAGATTATTCTTTATCACTCCGGGCTTGTCACTTACGTTGTATGTTACTTGCAGTTGTTCCATTCTTTGGTGTACCAGATGTTATCTGGAGAAAATCGCTGTTATCTGTAATTGGCGGTTTGGATGATGAAGAAGTTTCCGTTGTCTTGCCAGGTAAAATTGTGGCATTTGTTATTTGTTCTGTTGTGTCTTCCATGACATTTACTGAAGATGGAGATATTGTCCGATCTTCACTGATATTGATCATTACTTCATCGACAGTCACAGTACTCAGGTTGGTGACATCTGCTTTTGTTGTTGATGCATTACCCGTGCCGTTAATCAAACGGATTTTGTTTGTAGTATGCGAATTTTCTGGTGAAGAATTTGTAGTTAAATTACTTGGCATTGCAGAAGGTTTTGCTGTAGTTTCATAGTCGTAATAATAGAAAGCTTCATCGTCTGAAGAAGTGGTTGTCAAAGCGTCATCGCCTGGAGTGGTGGATGTCAAAGCTTCATCGACTGAAGAAGTGGGTGTCAAAGCTTGTGTTGTCGTTTTCATTTCATCCATACCGAAGAATGCCATGTGGTTAATATGCATGGTAGAGGTATAAGATTTGGTTGTTTTCAGTTGTGGCGTCACAGAAACAATATCTGAATCACTTGTGTCGGGATTAAGGTTTAATAAATATGTGGCCAATATGGTGGTAATCAGAGGTTGCGCTGAAGTGAAAATAGTGGATGTTTCCAAAATAAAATGTGACTGTAATAAATTCAGGAGGATAGTAACAAGAAACAAATTAACCAGATTTACGAAGGTTGTCCAAAAAGTTCGCATAAAAGCTCTATCATGGAAAGTTGAACGCACTATTTACGGTTTTAAGATCAAAAACGTATTAACTATGAAAATACATTGTATATTGCCACAGGACAAATTTTACGGAAAATTTTAAACTATTTTTTAATTCAAAATTTTGTCAATCTAATTTTTCAATGTACAATCATTAGAATGCAAACACATAGCATAATTTTCCTCGAATTGTTGACAGTTGTATCTAATGTCATACATTTAAAATTTTGACATCATAATATTAACGTGTTCTTACAGCAAGCATGATTTACTTGTTATAATAAGCGATTTAGTAAAAAAAATTAAACAAAAATTGGTAGCAGTTTTATTTGACTTTCATAAAAAGGGAAAATATAAAAAAATTTGTGCGTGTGTTTTTTAATATCTTTTCAAATAAAAATTTGGGTTTAAAGGGATAACTAAATGGGACAGGCGGACAAAAAGTCCCGGATGCTTTATCGGGAAAAATTCCCGGGACCCGTTTAATACCTAATATTAATAAACATTTTGGGGAATATGCCCAAAACCCGGGTAGCCTGGGTGCCAGTGATTTTTTTAAAAATTAAAAATTTGAAAAAATAAATCCTTTTTCAGTCTTCTTGTCAACTAAAATTTTTCAAAAACCCATAAATTGTATAAAAATTCTAAATTTTCTGCAGTTTAAAGTCGAGATACAAAAATTGAATTACTTTTGTAAAAACATTTTTAAAAAACTTATCACGATCTTTTTTTTTATTTTATAGAAGTATTTTTCGAACTTTTGGGACAAACCTTGTATAACTGGAAATTTTTGTTTCCCCTTGTTTTGTTATACTGACGATTGATATTTTAGCAATGATATATTTGTTTCATTTTCTATTCCGAGTTGTTAATTATATTCCTTGAAACGAAGGTAATTAAGCTTTGAATTCAATTCAGCACCGTGCAGGCCATACAAGATTACTACTTATCTTGAATTATATTGACTAAATACATAATGTGGCAAGCAATTTCAAAGCAGTGAAAATGCAAATACATGTGAAGTGCTCAGTCAAATGATTGCAACCAGTATAAAGATGATACTTGCCTTTAGTTGAAGCCTCGGTGGTAACAGTTCCTCTGACTAAAGTTTCAGTAGTTGAAGCCTCGGTGGTTGAAGTTCCTGTTACGGAAGTCTCGGCGGTTGTGGTAACATGATTGTCGGATGTTTTACCACCAGGATGTAGAGTATGTCCATGGTTTCGCACGTGATCATGGTTGTCATGTTGAGAACTTTTCAATAGGTCATCAAGAAATAATTTATCCTTGTCTTTATGTACATCTGTATCTAATGGCGTTGTTTGAGCAAAATCTGCGCAACAAGTTTAAAAGATTATATTGACTTTTTTTTATTTTATGTGCTATTTTGTACTATACTATACCGTTTAAGATTGATATGCATGTCATTGTTTTCATTTGGTTTCATTTCAGAATTGTATTTGAAATTGTATAACAATAACACTTATAAAAACGACTATGCTGTATTAGTTTAATCGTTATTGAATTATAAGTATATAGGTTGTCAAAACTTTTGATTACATTGGTAATTAACTTAAATGTCTCAAAATTCATTTGTCTTGAAATATAATGGAATTAGAGGATACGATAATGCGTTATTTAACAGTCATCATTATGATATAAACCTAAAACGCCTATGAACATCATACATATGTATCATACATAATAACTAATGTTTTTAAAACAACAGTATTTTACCTGCATGGATAGAGGTTGTTGTGTTCCCAGAGAATGACACGTTAATAGAGTTATTAGGATTTCTCTCCTCCACTGAAATGTTAACAAACCTTTAATTAATTATCATAGCTACGCAAAATTGTAAGAAGAAAAAAAAGATATGCACTTCCTGATAAAACATAATTTGTAAATTAGCATTGTTTAATGGTAAATTAGCATCGTTTAATTTTGAATTAGCATTGTTTATTTGTAAATTAGCATCGTTTAATTGTAAATTAGCATTGTTTATTTGTAAATTAGCATCGTTTATTTGTAAATTAGCATTGTTTATTTGTAAATTAGCATCGTTAATTTGAAAATTGTTTTTTTGCGAACCGTCTACATTGAGTGTATTCTTTATGATAAGACTAAGTCATAGTGCTTTATAAAAATATGAAGTTTGTAAGAAAGGTTACTGTTGTTGGTAAAATGGGCATGATAAAAAACGCCAAATGATCGAAGTATGTACATTAAACAGATGATTTACATTTGAGCCGCGCCATGACAAAACCAACATAATGGGTTTGCGACCAGCATGGATCCAGACCAGCATGCGCATCCGCGCAGTCTAATCAGGATCCATGCTGTTCGCTTACAAACCCTATAACAAATAGAGAAACTGATAGCGAACAGCATGGATCCTGATCAGACTGCGCAGGCTGGTCTTGATCCATGCTGGTCGCAAACCCATTAGGTTGGTTTTGTCATGGCGCGGCTCATTTATCATTTAACTAACTAGTACAACACAAGACTTCTTACATGGTGTGATGAATATAAAGTGGATGACCAGGGCAGTACCAAACGCTAGCGCTGCCATAATGATGAAGCCGAGGATGATGAATGCACGAGTTCTTCGTGCACGACGTCTTTTGTCTTCCTTTAAAAACAAGAGTATCATATGTTTCAGTTGACCAAATGATTGCACATGTAAACTCCAATGTCCTTGGATACTTTCAAAAAGCATTGCAATAGGATTGTTTTCTCTCGAAGCGTTGAACATTCTTTATTCAGTAAATTTATAGAAAATAGCCTGAAACAAATTGCAAGATGCCGATGATCTCAGAATATTATATTATTATGTCAGGGGTTTTATGGTCATTGTTACTTTACATACTTTGATTACTTTTATGTTCACATTAAAAGAAATTAAGTGAAACGGTCAAATTTTAGTTAAACTGATAGTAAAAAACAACAACAACAACTTCCCATGTCTTTATAAATTTTCATGTTGACCGTCACACAAATCTAAAAGATATATCTCTAAATAATAATAATAATAATAATAATAATAATAATAATAATAATAATAATAATAATAATAATAATAATAATAATAATAATAATAATAATAATTAACGTTAAATATGTAAAAAGTAATTGCGATATAAAATATAGACAAGTCATTTGTAAATAAATTGTAGACCTAAGATTCTCGTTTTTTATGAAACTAGGGCATTTAGTATGTAAACTTACGTGTCCCCAATTCCGTTAACTTTTTGTTCTTTATGCCAGTGATCGTCGTCTAACGTGTATGCAGGATTAACAGCTTCCGGACTTTGTGAGTTGCTTGCTAGCCTCAACTTCGTGTTCAATAAGATCTGAAAATAATAAATAAAATTATATACTAAAGCGGGGTAAAAGAATGGAGCGATGCTTTTTCTGGTTTACACAGCAATCATTTAGTTCCTAAACTATAAGAAATTTAACGGTTTCATCCATTTAAGTTGTGATTTTCAAAATAATGACGTTGATGACGTCATCAACCAAAACAGAATAAAAACGTATACGTTTTGCCTGAGTATGTTCGAAAGTGATGTATTATGATCGACCTACTATAGAATGTGAAATTTTATGTTTTTGTTCAGAAATTACAGTTATTTATAAGAATAATTCATATAAAGTACATTTTGTTATTTTATGACAATGGTAAACATGAAAATCTATGATGAAATGCAATTCTTTCAGTTGTATCAGTGGCAGAGCTGCATCAGTACTAAGGGTGTAGTAATTAAGTACCAGTACCAGTACTTGGCAAATTATGCAGTTACCATTACCAGTACCAGTACTAGATTTTAGCTCGATACTGCAGTACCAGTACTTTTTTTTGGTGAATTAATTAAGTATCAGTACCTTTTAACTTTTATATATTCATCAAATTTTTGAAAAAAACATTTGTCAAAAAAAAATAATTGCAATTTTTAATTCAGCAAAGAAAAAAAATATAATTTATTTAAATTAATAAATTTTTTAAACAACTTTATATTTTTAAAACTTTACCTTTTACAAACAATTTTTTACAAAAAAATATTAAATGTCTTTAATTTTTAATTTTTTAGTAACCAGTCAACTAAATAAATACAATGCAAAAAAATCTTTAAAATTTAAAACACAACATTTTTTTGTTGCCTTTCACACACCCTGTTCTTTTTAAATTCCAAAAGTAAATAAAAAATTTTTTAGGGGTTTTTAAAAAATATCAATTTTTTTCCTTGAAAGGGGTTTTATTTAGAATAGAAAAAAATTTAAAAATAAGTGTTTATTTGTTCTTTTCCCTATAAATACAAAGAAAATAAAAGATTTCAATAAGGATATTTTAGGGTTTGAATAAATATGAATGTGTTAGGCTCTGTTATTGGAAATCTCAATATCCGTTTTCTACTACATTATGTTATGTGATTCTATGTTTGTATGTATGCATTTATGTATGTCACAATTTGCTTATGTTTCCCGCTATTGTGGGACTTTTGCATATATTGAAAATAAAATCTGAAATCTGAAATCTGGGTAAAGAGTTATTTAGTCTGTTTACCTTAATTTAATTTTTACTGAAAGTCTTTGGTGCTTTTTATGATGAATACTATGTTAACATTTGAAGGAATATTGCAGCAAATTATCTTTAGATTTGATAACTTACTTTTTCACAAAAATAAAATATAGTTAATGTAATTTACAGCTTTATTTTATGAGAAAAATTGATGCTATTTTTAATTTTTATCAAAACCAAAAGTACTGGGTAATGCAGTAGCAGTACCACTTTTTAAGACAGTAATGCAGAACCAGTACCAGTAGTAGCAAAATTTTGTAAGAGTAATTCAGTATCAGTACCAGTACTTGCAAAATCACTGCAGTATGTACTGCAGTACCAGTACCAGTACCAGTACCAGTAATGCAGCTCTGATCAGTGGCTCATTAAAATGTGTGCCTGATAAAATGTAATGAAAGCACGTGGTTTTATTAATTACTTTATTCATTTATCTAATACAAATTGACTGACAGTACTAATATAAATAAATCAGAATACAATTATCTTCAAACTTTATTGTGATTTATACATGACAAAGTGATTTATTTGTGGCGTTAATGTCAGAAAGAAATGCTCGAAATTAATTATGAAATTTTTTATGAGTTTGTGAAACAAAGTAATGAATGTTACGGAAGTGATTTGGATACTATGTGTCAACGTCCGACTCATTATCAGATTTTAATTTTTTGTGTTGCTGTTTGGTTTTTATTCGTTTTTTTTTGTATTATAAATGACAAAGACACGATCACTCAAAGTGAAATATCCGAATACCATAAACATAATAAAAAAGCTTGTTTACAACGTTTTACTACCAATTTGAAGATGAAATTGAAAATTTGTCTCTTTTTCTTAATGAAGACATCTGGAATTTAGGTTAATACATAGGTATGCATTACTTTATTAGAAAACAGACTGTTGTAACTAATGCTAGTTTATGCTTTGACAGTTCGTTTTTTTTTTCAAAATACAAAATAAAGAGTATAAATTACTCATAATGATAAATCTACTTATCATCATTTTTCATTTGAATGATTACGTTGAAGAATGGAGGGCAGTTAAACTTTGTTTTGTGAAACTGATTTAAACCAGATTCACATAATACATCATTTGAGCCGCGTCATGACAAAACCATCATAGTGCAATTGCAACCAGCATGGATCCAGACCAGCCTGCGCTACCGCGCAGTCTGATCAGGTTCCATGCTGTTCGCTGTCAGTTTCTCCACTTGTAGTAGAGTTGGTTTTAGCAAACAGCATGGATCATGATCAGACTGCGCGGACGCGAAGGCTGGTCTAGATCCATGCTGGTCGCAAACCAATTATGTTGGTTTTGTCGTAACGCGGCTCATTTGTCGCAGAAAAACACTAATATGATTACATAGTTTAGTAAACTAGGAAGATCATGCATCGCATCGTTTTTTTTACCGTTTTTTTCTTTCTTTTTTAAATAATCTATTTCATTATTATTACTGTTATTATTATTGCAATTTAAGCTACCATTTCGTGCCTAGGAAACGCTCGAAAATATAAAATATGGATCCTTCCTTAACCAATCATGCAATGTGACCTTAAAATTGAAGATATAAATTGAAAACCAATAAAACAAAATAAAACGTGTAAAGTGGTAATTAAAAATTCTATGTTAAACATGAATATATTAATTAATTAAAAATTTATTGTCCGCTGACATTTAAAAGACAATTTGATGAGTTTGTTATAAAAGCAACACTTGTTTTGATAAATGAAACACGTGTGTAGGTCTATATATAGTACAATCAATAAATAAAAAACCGCAGCTTTACTTACGTATAAAAATATTTGTTGAAATTAAATTTTTGGATAATGGCGTCATTTTTTGACGCCAATAAACCAAATGACGTCAGGAAAATTACTTATCCGCTCAATCATCTTTCTTTTGTAAATATATGTATCAACATTTCTTGCGTACACGGTTAATGGTTCAAATGCTTTGTAATTTGTCACTCAGGCCTACAGGTAAAATTGTGAGAACGGTTTATTGTTCAAATACTTTGTTGTAATTCACGAAGACCTACCGGCCTTCGTGATTATATTTCCGCGCATTTGAAAATCAACTGTGTATTATTCTTTAACAACGCACTGAAATTAAATAGAAAATGTTAACCTCCGCTGATTATGCAGTAAAATACACTGACAGTAAATATTTGACAGTTCATGACTTGAGCTATATGCCAATCAATGTTCAAGGTCAATATTTCAAAATATTTTGCTGTCAGTTCGGAATGCCTCCTTTTAAATAATAGACATATATAAGTATGGACAGCCAGTTTAGATCACAGACTTTAACAAGTATAGAATACCAAATTATTATATAGTATGCAATGTCAGGCACCACACTTACTTAAGGCAATACGCCCATGACCATTTAGTTATTATATGTAAGCATCAGAAAGTTCTTTGATGACGTAAGGTTATGACGACATTTCTCTACAAAAAAGAATATAAATTAAAAAACAAATAAATTCAAAATATTCAAATATATGCATATTTAATGCACATAGAATTGTGCGAGAGTATCACATATCATTCTATTCAGCACATTATATGCACGCGACGAATTGACAGATGTAAGCGTTTTCCTTTATATGGCTATTGTTATAAAATTAATTGTAATTGTAATAATGCTATTGTACTCAGGGGCGAAACGCAAACATGTGATCGGAGCAAGACACATATCTGTGGCTGCTCCAATTGTGACTTAAATAGTTATTTGTGGATGATTGTTGAAATTAAAATGAAATGTATCAAATCGTTTGCAAAATATATTCACCATAGGCGTTTTGTTCACAACTAAAAGGTGAAAGTTGACCCATGATTAAACCCCCCCCCCCCCAAAAAAAAACAAAAAAAACAACAACAACAAAACAACAAAAAACAACAAAAAAACAGGATATGTATAATCGCCTTTTTTCGTGACTTTGGAGAACTTTATATATTCCTTCGGACTGGAGATAATTATTTGTAGTTTCATCGTTTAAAGATGCCTATATGCTATGCGTTTTACCCTACCTACATTAAATTTTATAAGTATGC